TTTTTTAATTAGACTGTTTTTTAAAGATCATTTCTTTGGGGGCTTACAGCTCTTATAACATAAAATCCATACATCAACTGTATTAAGCATATTTGTACATATGTTGCCATCCTCATTTTCTCAACATTTACTTTCAATTTGAGCGCTTGGTGTCATAACAATGACCTGCGCAGTAAGTAATATTCCCACATCGGCTGCCAGAAAGTCTACCCAAGACAAAAACCTCACTGTCCTTGAGTCAATGCTGACACGTAACAACCCTGTAGGATACACTAGAATGGACTCTGTACATTGCTGAGACTGTAACTCCTTATGGAAGTAGAAAGCCCGGGCTGACGGTTTTGAACTGCTGACCTTGCCAATGACAGCCATAAGGACGACAGCACCAGGGCTCCTCACATAAGACAAAGGGGTTCCTCACTATGGAAGACCGTAAGGAGACTCAGGGAGAAAAGGAGGGTGGCTGGAAGAAAAGAGAGGTTGGAGGGGAGGGAAGGAGATAGGCTACTAGGCACATTCCATAGCTGGACACCATTTTACAAACTACCAGAGAGGGAGTTGAACCTCAAGGCTAAGTTTCCTTTCTAGGCAGCTGCCTATTGCTCGGCAGCAAACAAGGAAGAGCACTGAACAGGCTCAAATTGCTTAGTGCCTTCATCCCCATGAACTTTAAGATCTGTTATTAAAAGACAAAGAATGAATGCAATAAGCATAAGGTAGGATACTACAATTTAACACCCCACCCCCACCCCCAAGAAAAAGAACATAGGACCAGTTGTATAAAAGAGGTACCCAAGGAAGTACAACTTTAATTAAGTCGTTATGTTGTATCCTCTTGACCAACATCCCAAGGTCAGTACTAAACTCGCTGCCATCGAGTCAATACTGACTCATAGGCACTTGCTGTGGGTTTCTGAAACGGTAACTGTTGGTGGGGATTGAAAGCCCAGTATGGTGATTCCGAATGGAAGTGCACCCAGTGAACTTCAAAGGTCAAAGTCCTGACCGAAGACATACAGAAGCATCACACAAGGTCAGGCTTTGAAGGGGGTACTGAAAACCTCACACTAGAACACGAGGTGTTGGTGTTAAGAACTAACACATAGTTGTCCCCTGATTTGCTACCCAATAATAGTGTGTGTATGTGTGTGTGCAGCAGTACTAAATACAAACTACTTAAACTATCCTGCAATGCTTTATGTAATGGTGTACTCGTCACGTGGGTAGGAGCATGGCACATTACAAGGCAGTGTTTAATTTTGTTGTGTGTAGGGTCCACCAGAAAATATGACCTTGAGTCTAGCCCACCTGAGTCTTGAGAACATCTCAAGAACAGGTTTGATGCATTGCACACTATGACAGAAGACATGGTGAGCTGTGGGAGGACATCAAGAGCATCATTCATGTGGAAAGCAAATGGTCATTAAAAAGACAAGAATGAAAGAAAATATCAAATTGGATGTCAGAAGAGATTTTGAAACTTGCTATCAATCGCAGCATAGCTAAAGAAAGTGGAAGAAATGATGAAGTCAAAGGACTGAATAGAAAATTTCAAAAGGCAGCTCTAGAAGATGAATTAAAATATTATAATGAAATGTGCAAAGATAGAGCTAGAAAACCAAAAAGGAAGAATACACTTAGCATAACTTAAACTGAAAGAACTCAAGAAAAATATCAAGCCTCGATTTGAAGCATTGAAAGCTTCTAGGGGCAAAAGGTTGAATGATACGGGAGGGATCCAGAGAAGATGGAAGGAATACACAGAGTCACTGTGCCAGAAAGAAGCAGGTAATGGTCCACCGTTTCAGGAGGTAGCATATGAGCAAGAACCAAACTACAGGGAAATCATCAGCCCCAAACAAGGCTCCAGGAATTGATGGAATACCGATTGAAATGGTTCGACAAGCTGTTGAGGCACTGGAAGCACTCACTCTTCTATGCCGGGAACTTTAGAAGACAGCTTCTTGGCCAACTGACTGCCAGAGAACCATAGTTGTACCCATTTCATAGAAAGGTGACTCAGCAGATGTTCAAGTTACAGAACAATATCACATATCACATCCCATTAAAATTTTGCTGAAGATCATCCAACAATGGTCGCAGCAGTACATTTACAGGAAGCTTCCAGAGGTTCAGGCCGATTCAAAAGAGGACATAGAGCAAGGGATAGCATTGCTGATATTAGAAGGATCTCAGATCAAAGCAGAGACTACTAGAAAGATATTTACTTTTGCTTTATTGACTATGCCAAGACATTTGACTGTATGGATCATAACAAACTATAGATAACCTAGAGTAGCAGGACTGTATAAAGAAGAATGTGGCAACAAGATGAGAGGAAGGCTTATTAGCAACCTGCAATATGCAGATGACACAACCTTGCTTGGTGAAAGTGCAAAGGACTTAGAGCACTTCCCGATGAAAACCAAGGATTGCAGACTTCAGTATGGATTACAACTCAAGCTACAGAAAAGCAAAATCCTCACAACTGGACCAAGAGGTAACATCAGGATCAGTGGAGAAAAGGCTGAAGTAGTTAAGGATTTGGTCTTGCTTGGATCCACAAACAATGCCCAGGGAAGCAGTGGTGAAGAGATCAAAAGGCGCGTTGCATTATGGGAATCTTCTGCACCAGGTGTCTTGGGTATTGAAAAGCAAGGATGTTACTTTGAGTACTTAGGTGTGCCTGTCCCAACGCATGGTATGTTCAATGGCGTCATGCACAGGGGAAGCTTGACATTGAATAAGGAAGACCAAAGAAGAATCGCTGCATTTGAAGTGTGGTGCTGGGGGAGAATATCGAAAGTACCATGGACTGCTACACGAAGTAGGGCCCGTGTTTGCTCCTCAGAGGCAAAGGTGAGGAGGCTTTGCCTTACATCCTCTGGGCGTGGATGGCATCATGCTTCATAAAGTGGAGGGCAGCAGAAAAGAAGAAGGCCCTCACGGAGGCGGGTGACACCGTGGCTGCAACGAGGGGCTCGGGCAGAGGAACGACTGGGAGGACGGCACAGGGCTGGGCGGTGTGTTGCTTCGTTGTGCACAGGGTTGCTATGGGCTGTCACAGGTCAGAGGCAACTCCACAGCCCCTGACATCAAAAGCTGGGCTGCTGAATCCGAGCTGAGTCGATGGCACACGACTACAGTGTAAAATGAAAATATTAAATACACTAAAGAATTTTTGTGCATACTAAGTTGTAACAAATATTCACAAACTATGCTATTTACCAGGATTCTCTGGCTTCACTTCACCTGATTCCTAATTCTCATGGGCGGTCAGCTACTTGATGCAGTTCATGCCTCTCCAACCCTGTGGTGCCCTGATCACAGGCCCTTTCCGAGCAGAGCTGCTTCTAGACTCTAACTCCACCCTGCTCCTCATACTCCACCCCCACCACTCCCCACCCCCACCCCCGCTCTCTGCATCCTGGCTGAGCCCAACACCGCTCCTTAAACAGCAACCTAAATTACACAAGTCTTTAGATAATGATTTGGAGCCTGGCTAGAATTTTTCAATATGCACATATCCAGGAGCTGGAGACAAACTCACAGAGCAATTCAAGAATCTTGCACACACTGCTATTGGAAACCATTGCTGAGCAAGGAGACACTCACTCTCGCCCACACTCTGAGAGACCTTGCAGACTCCTTGATCATCTGTGTTCAACGACACCAGTGAAAGAACAGCAAGGCAGCTGGAAGTCGTACAAATGACTCGAAATAGCAACCAGGAAGATGTGGAACATTTCATCCCTGAGCCAACCTGGATTAATATGTTGCTGTATTTAGGTCCATCTCTGAAACAGAAAACCACACAACCTTTCCACTCATGACGGCCGGTACAATGGCCGCTGCTCTCTTCATGGAGCTGAAGTGACACGTGAGCCCGCTCTCGTGGCTTTCAATACAAAGTGATGTATGTGAGAAGGAGGGGAAAAAAAGTCTTTATAGCATCACCAAAATCGAGTTGCAAGAGACATTTTCAGAAAGAAACAAGGCCTGTATTTACAGTAACAGAACTCCAAATGTGTACAGCAGAGATAGCAGAGCTAGCCTGGTAACTATAGCACAGACAGAGCATTTTTCAAAGTAAAAAAAAATAATAATAATAACTGGCTGAAACTGTCCCAGATTTTCGAACTGATTAGATATAGCTGTGACCATAAAGTAAATACAGCTGTGAATATAATGTAGCTATAGCTGTGACCATATGTAGATATAGCTGTGACCATATGTAGATATAGCTGTGACCATCATGTAGATATAGCTGTGACCATATGTGATATAGCTGTGACCTGTTCCGGGAAGTTGCCGAAAGAACCACATCCTCATTCGAGGCCATTTTCCAAAGGTTGAAAATCAGAGTCGTCCTTCAGGCCACCTGCAGCAGTCTCTAGGAACCCCCTTCAGAGTGAGTTTGCACTTGACACAGATCGAGGACCTACTTTATGATTATACCTTTGGATGTTAAAAAATTCAACCGGCTAGGTTCATACAGGTTAGAATTGACTCTAGGAATTAACTATGCATCGAATGACTTCATGCTACCATTTCAAATCAGAACTATCATGTTACCTGTGTATTTTCTATGACTGTGCTTATTCAAATGAATATATATATATGAAATGAAGAAACATTCTAAAATCAGTCTGTGCAATGCACCTTTCATGGGAATACATTGATAGATACCAACACTGGCAACATTGTGTGGTCATCAAGTTCATAGAATTCTTGCCTGATCTTCAACATAAAAGCTTATTGCCATATTTCATGCGACTCGGGAGATGGATTTTCAGCAGATTTGTACATTAGCAGCACATAACTTGAGATGCATTTTATGGATATATATTTTCATTTCAAAAGTAGGAAAAAAACACTTTTTAATTATTCCTAAAATAATAGAAGTGAGTCTACCCATTTACTAGCCTTTTCGGGTTTAAAAACTTTCCATTGACAATACACAAGTGAAGTACTTTGAGAATGATCAATTCAGCACTCACGCCATGATGCCGGAGAGGTGAAACATTTCAGCTGTTATGTAGGACAAATAGCTGTACAGGAAGACAAAGAGTGGCTCAATCACTCGGATGTTATGGGTGAACCGGGTGGTGAATGCTGCTATGAATCCCAGGAAGATGCCAATCAACACCCCACCAATTCCTACAACGAAGAAATTAGCAATTCCAGCAAACACATCAATGGTCTCAATGGTTTTCATCTGGCAAAAAGACTTGAACAGGTTGTACAGGACCTGGGGAGAAAGAAAGCACAGTATCAGGAGATCTCGTCAAGCTCCCCTCTCCCCTCCTCCCTGACCTTCAATAAGGAACATGCTTTTGTGTACCAGGGTGAATCATAGCCAGTGATTGATTAAGTATTTTTTTGTCTCATAGTAAAACTTTAAATACAAAAGTTTACAAAGCCAACAGTGT